TAGGAATGCTGGGTGAGGGCGTAGTTGCACCTTGTATTTAAAAAAACCCGTGGGGAGGGAGCTTGGAAGTCAGCGCTCTGAGTTCAGACACCCTTCTATCTGAACCCTAAAGCTATGGCCACCAGAAAAGCCACCTTCCAGGACAGGTAGGATAGAGGGTAGGTTGCTATGGCTCGAAGGGGGGCCCCATAAGTCTGGAGAGAACCAGGTTGAGATCCCACTGGGGAATGGGCTGCCACACCTGCAGATAAAGCCTGTCCAAGCCCTTGAAAAACCTACCAACCATGGGATTTCCAAAGACTGACCTACCTGCCACACCTGAGTGGAAGGCCAAGATGGCAGCCAGGTGCACCTTAATAGATGATATCTCCAACCTCTGTTGCTTCAGATACAGAAGGTAGTCTAGCAGAAGGGGAATAGAGGCTTTCTGCAGGGAGGTACCTTTCTGTAGGGACCAAATGGAGAAACGCTTCCACTTCACCAGGTACGTTGTGCAAGTGGAGAGCTTCCTGCTCCCCAACAGGACTTCCCTAACAGGGTCCGAATACTGTAGTTCAAGCGTTAAACGTTAAAGCGAATACTGTAGTTCAAGCGGGTTCAGCCATGGAGTTTCCATGCCATGAGGTGGAGGGACTCCAAGTTGGGGTGCTGTAGTTGACCATGGTCCTGCGTGATGAGGTCCACGAGCATAGGAAGGGCTATTGGCCTATCCACTGATAGGTTCAGCAACATGGTGAACCAGAGCTGGCGGCGCCACGCTGGTGCTATGAGGATAACCAAAGCCCTGACCTGCCGGACCTTGAGGAGGATCTTGTGTATGAGAGGGAAGGGTGGGAATGCATATAGCAGGTGACCCATCCACGGGAGGTGAAAAGCGTCTTCTATGGAGATGTGGCTGTGGTTCTGAAAGGAGCAGAACAGCTGACACTTTCTGTTGCTCTGCGTCGCAAACAGGTCCATGTGGGGATAGCCCCACCTCTGGAGGATGGAAAGGGCAATGCCCGCTCTGAGTGACCACTCATGAGTGTTGAACAAGCAGCTGAGGTGGTCCACTAGTTCGTTTTGTGCTCCCGGCAGATATGAGGCCTGCAGCTGGATGGAGTGTGCGATGCAGAAGTCCCACAGTCGGAGAGCTTCCTGGCACAGGGGAGAAGAGCGAGCACCACCCTGTTTGTTTATATAGAACATCGCTGTGGTGTTGTCCATCATCACTGAGACACACTTGCCCTGAAGATGGGCCTGGAACATCTGGCAAGCCAGGCGAACAGCTCTCAGCTCTCTGACATTGATATGCAGCGATAGTTCTGGTTGTGACCACAGGCCTTGAGTTCTGATACTGCCCAGGTGCGCTCCCGAGCCCATCTCTGATGTGTCCATGACCAGCGACAGTGAGGGCTGAGGCTTGGCAAAGGGCACTCCCACACAGACCATCTGAGGTTGTAGCCACCAGCTGAGGGACTCGAGAATCGGGGGAGGGAGGGTAACCAATCTGTCCAGAGGGCCCTAGCTGGGTCTGTATACCTTCGCCAACCAAGCCTGGAGGGGGCGAAGGCGCAATCTGGTTCCTGAACTCCGGAGAAAGACTGTGAAGGACCCCTCCTGTTGTTTCTGCCCCCCGTCGATTATAGTCCTGCCTAGGGGGCCCTGAATAGAAACATGAGGGGGGATGGGGCTTGAAGGGCTTTTTCTGGAGTGCTGGCATGTGAATTCCCAGAGGCTTGAGGGTTGCTTGTGAGTCCTTCACACTGTGCAGTCTTGAGTCCATCTTGTCAGCGAACAGCCCCGCACCGTCAAATGGAAGCTCCTGTATTGTATTCTGAACCTCCGCTGGGAGTCCCGAGACGTGTAGCCATGAGCTACATCTCATTGTAATGGCCGTAGCCATAGTCTGGGACTATATAGGAGAAGAAGAAGGGGTGCAAGATGTTATCCATTATGCATGTGGCATTCTGCCATCAGGAGTGTCTACTGAAAAGTGGATCCCAGCTATCTAGACTGGACAAGCACTGAAAGGATTGACCATTACGAGAGAAATACCTTATTACATTGGACATGAACTTAATAAGCAGGCTCTAGATTGTATTTTATATTTTTTCTTTTATTTGTAGCTTGGTGTTTCCAATCATTTTACTTACATCTATTTTGGATAATTTTCTTAAACTGAATTAAATAAACTTATATTTAGCTTTACTATCGACATGTCCAAGTGCCTTGCACTACAGAGAGTGTTGAACTGATGGGAGAGTGGTGAGCTGGGGCACACAGAGACAGCAGATCGGTGTACATTGTGGGTGCCCAGAAGAAAAGGGATTGGGCACTGAAGTGTAACAAGGTGGGATGTTGTGTTTCCTGTCGTTACACCTGTAGAGGAAAAGAGCCAGGTTCATACACAGAGCCCAGGGAGTGGAGTGCTTATGCTGCCATCTGCCCATTGAGATAAGCAGAGTTGGGAGGATTTTCCCCTGTTGAGCACAGACAAGGCTCTCTCACACTGTAACTGGGTGGTAGTGATTCATCCTGTACATTTCGGTTAACCCCTGAAGTGTCACAGTGCCCAAAAGCCTGCTAATGTTTTTTCTAAATATATTTTCCCACTGTGAATGTGTCATTTACAAGAATATCTCTCACTCAGATGAAAACAATCAAATCTCCTAGACCAGCAGATACTCAACAGCGACGTGGGGGGAGGGGGAAGAGCGAGAGGCAACACGTTATTCATATATTCAGAAGTGACAGGAAAAACTGTCAAGACAATGGAACACCAGGCAAGCACTTTTGATTTGGATTATTTTATTTTTATTTTTCAGATTAGCCCGCTCTGATTAAACTTTAGAAATGGCGACGGTAAAACACAGAATGCAGTGAAAAGAAGATGGTGTGTCAGGAAATCTGATTGGTCCGATTTTGCTGCAGAGTTCTAATTCCTGAAACAAAGGTGCATTAAAACAAAAACAAAAAAAGTAGCAACAGCTAGTGTGAAGAAAGGTCACCAAAGATTGTTACGCCAGTAGAAATTGATCCTCCTTTTGTGCGTATATATATTTACTCCAAGAAATCTTCCACGGCACTTTATCAATCGATGACTCTATGATTTGAGCACAGGGTATGTGCAGTTAAAACAAGTCCTTTGCTAAAGCTAGAGCGGGTCATAATCTCAAATAGCAACACGAATAAGATAGGCCTTATTTTTAAAAAGTGTATTTTACAGAATATAGCTAATTGTTCTACTAGAGGAAGCACGAAAATATGCTGGGAATTTCAAGTCACCACCTTGTAAAATTGTGTTAATAGATGGTCAACCGGAAATGGGGGAGGGGTATGGTGGGGGTAAGAGAAAATGCATCTTGAAAGCCGTTCTTGTTATGAGTCATATATTTAACGCAATCTCCAAGCCTAAGGGGATATGTGAGTTTCCATTGAAATTATAACGCTGGACTTGATATTGATTTTCGAACTCCTAAATGGGGCGTTGTTTTCTCTGAAATCTATTTTTGAGTTTATTGCATGCCTTGGGAGATCTCAACCCAGTTGCATACAGAATGGAAGCGCGGGAGGGAATTGCGCCCAAAATTACCATCTTTACCTCGGGTCAGACTTCGGGGATACGGGTAGCGTCATGAAGCGCGACCATGATTATTTTGTATTTTTACGTCTGGTGGTCGTAGGTAAAGAGTTTGGGAAAAGACCCGGCAAAGCACCACAGCAGAGTGCAGACTGAGGGATAACATCCTGGCTCACCGTGGGGGCATGAAGCGTATCTCGTGAAGAGATCCGCGATGGTTTTCTTGGACCTACACTGAAGCTGAACTCGCCCAGCAAAAGACTGATAGACGTGGATTTGGGCTGTGTTCTGAAAGGGAAGGAGGACATTTCATACGGATTCGGTGGTTAAATCCACATTATGAATAACATATTTGCAACAAAAATGCTCTTTCCGGAATCACTCAAACATCCACCAGAAGAGCCGATTCTCTATTTTTAACCTATACTATTTTGCAAAAGCCACAGGGTATACTGAAATTTAGAGGGAATCGCCTAAAATGAAAAAGCTGCCAATAACTACATTAGGCAAAAGATTTAGATTTTACTTTTGTCTCATTCACACAGCATGGTTTCAGATAAAAAAATAAGCCATGTTTTTGTTTGGTTTTAATAGCATATGAAATACCCGTTACATTTTACAATTCATATACTTTTCATGAGGACAGGGCCAGGGATGTATTTCTTATAAAATATACACATATGGTCTTAAAAACAAAGTGTAGCAACTTTTTGTAAGTGCTAAATTCGAAAGAAATACAAAGCTGGAAAAGACTGTAATCTCACATCATTAATTATATTCTGTAGATATAGAACTAGTCAGGTAGAAAACCAGTAACCAAAAGGTATTAACATTTTTAAGGTGGGTTCTAAGACATAACAGTAATTTTTGCTCTGGTTGAAAGATATTTTATTCATTGCGGGTCATCGTGCGTATGGGAAACGGGTAAAGTGAAAAATTCACGCTTTGAAAATTAATCATGATTTCAAGAGGGGGTCTGAAGAGGGATAGATAGTGCAAGCAGCAAGTCATTAGTACCGTCATTTTGTGCTAACTCTTGGCTTTGTGGGGCTGAACTAGCTAACTGAAATGTGGAAAGTAAAAAAAAAAAATGCTGTGGGTGTTTGTTTTTATTTATGGATTATTTCACTTACCAACAGAGTTCTTCCACTGAAAATGTGAGTGGCCAAAGTAACCTGCAAGTTTTAACTGATTGTTCCTTATATCATGTAAAAAAATGTTGTCTTTCTGGCGCAACTTAAACCAAATTAAACATTAAAAAAAGGTCGTTTAGTACTAGGCACTTCTTTCTGTAAACGAAACATGCGTCTACCCCTTAGTAGACAGCAATCTTTTTGGTACTCTTATTTTGTATAATCTATTTAAATATTAAAGCAGAAATACAGCTCCTTTCAGTGTAAACGTGGTGGCTCTTAAAAGAGCCTTTGGTTTTTTTAGTTGGTTGCATGAACGCCTGCTATTAGGAATGTTAAGCTCTCTCCCCGCGGATACGCCGGGCTAACTGGATGTCCTTGGGCATAATGGTGACTCTCTTGGCGTGAATAGCACACAGGTTGGTGTCCTCAAAAAGCCCAACCAAATAAGCCTCACTAGCCTCCTGCAGGGCCATAACAGCCGAGCTCTGGAAGCGCAAATCAGTTTTGAAGTCCTGGGCGATTTCACGGACCAGGCGCTGGAAGGGCAGCTTGCGGATGAGCAGCTCAGTAGATTTCTGATAGCGGCGGATCTCCCGCAGAGCCACGGTGCCGGGCCGGTAGCGATGAGGTTTTTTCACTCCTCCCGTCGCAGGAGCACTTTTACGGGCAGCTTTAGTAGCCAGCTGTTTACGGGGAGCTTTGCCCCCAGTAGATTTGCGAGCTGTTTGCTTTGTCCTCGCCATTCTCACTAACTACGAAACCCTGCTTTCAGACAAAGGCAAACAAGATGCGCTGTAGCAAAACCGCGGAATATATAACCAAAGTCTCCCTCCTGATTGGCTGGCGGAAAAAGGCAAACTGCATTGGACAATTTTAAATATTTGAAAAGCCCGCGCTCTGCCGGGAGGGAAAGAATTGACCCTTCCCGCCTTCTTTCTGTCCTCTGGTAGTGCCTATACCGCCTCCGGCGCCCGCGCCCTCCATCATCTGATTCCACAGAACACGCGCTCCCTCTAGCCCACGTAGCCTCGATTACGCCCTCATAGTAATTTAATAAAGCCCTATTTTAATGCCTGCTGGTTTTTCTTTAAATCCCTCGCTCACCGCTTGAAAGCGACAGATTTGAGATATGTGATTCTGAATACCTCCATCCTCCTTACAACATTCCCACCTCACCAAACTGCGGCAGCGAAGAAGGAAAATTATACCGCATATGCCGAAAGTTTGGTGGGGAATTCGATACCATTTTATATTGCACTTTGGGGTTATCTAGAGGGTGACAAATAACCTACAATCCCTCCTCCCAACACCCACAAAATAAACAATTTTTTAATTAAGGATTTAATAGAAATAATTGAATTCTTTAATATATAGTAATAGTTACTGTCCTGTTAGTGTTTTACTTTCCGGAAAACCAAGATGTATGCATGATCTCAACAAGGGATTGGCTAAGTAAAAACCCAGCAAGGTGCTTTGACTACTAAGCATGCAAACTGGCACATTCATGTTTTATTCTAATACCTCCAAGCATACATGTAAGAGTTGAGGCGAGAACCTTTGATCGAAATAAAACTTTTAGACTTTACAAATAAGAATTGAGATTTAAATGTTTAGTGTTCGTTTCCTAGGAACAGTTAAGATATAATCTAGATTTTTAAAACATGTATTTTCTGTGAGGTAACATTTTTAGAACAATCACACTTACCCCAGTCAGGGAAAACAAAGCAGTGTTTTGAGCTCTGTTATTGAAAATGTGGGTGGCTCTTAAAAGAGCCTTTGGGTTTTATGTTCTTTGATAGAATCTACTTAGAGCTGGTGTACTTGGTAACAGCCTTAGTGCCCTCAGACACCGCATGTTTGGCTAACTCGCCCGGCAGTAGCAGTCTTACAGCGGTCTGAATCTCCCGGGAAGTGATAGTCGAGCGCTTGTTGTAATGCGCCAGACGAGACGCTTCCCCTGCGATACGCTCGAAGATGTCGTTCACAAAGGAGTTCATGATGCCCATAGCCTTAGAAGAAATACCAGTGTCTGGGTGAACTTGTTTCAGCACTTTATACACGTAGATAGAGTAACTTTCCTTCCTAGTCTTTCTACGCTTCTTATCGCCCTTCTTCTGAGTCTTAGTGACAGCTTTCTTAGACCCTTTCTTAGGAGCTGGAGCAGATTTCGCTGGCTCTGGCATATTGAGATTTGTTGCTTTCTCTGAAAGACAGAAACAACGTAAATATAATGGCGGCCACCCCCTTATTTATAGGGACCTTATGCAAATGAGACGCTTGTAATCTTTCATTTTTTATTGGGCCTTAGCTAAAGGATACGTCACACACTATAAACCCTACATCCAATTGGTCAAAATAAAATCCTCATCACCATTGGTTGGAAATACAATGAAAATTTTCAACCAATCATGAATCAGTTTCTGTACCACAAGGAAGGGATAAAAAGGCAGGATCCGGGCGGGGCGCGATTGATTCTAGTTTTTGTCTTTTAAAAAGTGCTTTGATTTTGTGAACTAGAGAGTCAATGTCGGGTCGAGGAAAGCAGGGAGGTAAAGTGAGGGCGAAGGCGAAGTCTCGTTCTTCGAGAGCTGGGCTACAGTTTCCTGTAGGTCGTGTGCACCGTCTTCTTCGCAAAGGTAACTATGCTGAGCGGGTGGGGGCTGGCGCCCCGGTCTATATGGCCGCGGTGCTGGAGTATCTGACCGCTGAAATACTGGAGCTGGCTGGCAACGCTGCGCGAGACAACAAGAAAACCAGAATCATTCCCCGTCACTTGCAGCTCGCCATCCGAAACGACGAGGAGCTCAACAAATTGTTGGGGAAAGTCACTATTGCTCAAGGGGGTGTCCTGCCCAACATCCAGGCTGTGCTACTGCCCAAGAAAACAGAGAGCCATAAGGCGAAAAGCAAGTAAAAGTGACCGTCTACTAAATCAACCCAAAGGCTCTTTTCAGAGCCACCCACAGTAACAGAAAAAGAGTTGAGTTCCTAATACACTAACCTATTATATGCTTTTAAAAAACACCTTCTGAGTGTTGTAAATCCTGGTTTACTTTTCATTAAGTGAAATAATTTTTGTAGACTGATTAGGGCGAAAGCTTAAATCACTGCCTCTTTAGTTTATTAAAAACTTAATACTTCTGTTCATTCTACCGTGTTCCTATTCTGAATAAACCGGGGCCAAAATTATTCAGATTTATGTATTTCCATGAGTACTATATTTCCGCCTATAATTTAACTAAAAATCGAGAATTAAAAACACACCAGAATATTTAACTTGTACGGGTAAATGGAGTGGATTCACTTAATTCAAACAAACCCAAGGGCGGAAGGGAAAGGCGCGTTATGGACCAATCGTTGTAAAACGCGGTTTTTTCAAATTACCCAATTGCTCAAAAGCGCGGACTTTTCAAATTTCCCCCAATCCCCGCAAAACAACTATTCATACTGCTTAACCGGTGATATACTCCCAGCAGCTAGGCAAGATAGACCGAGAGAAGGGCGTTCTAAATTGCTAGTAGGACGAGCCCTAACAGCAAAGTCTAAATAATGGCTAGAATCCCTGTTAGCATGGATTAAAAAAACCTCACCCAACCAACATTAGATTTTTCTAAATTGTTTTTGGCTCGGAGATATTAAATTGGTTTCTTAAACTATATAGAAAGAGTTTTTGGAATGTTATAAAGGTAAAAAAAAACAGGCCCTCCACCAAAGCAATCTTTGATGCACAGGTACACTAGGTGTTTCAGCTCCTTGGGGAAAGGATGGGTGGCTCTTAAAAGAGCCGTTGGGTTTGTTTGCACGAGATTCGAATTTTCTCTTCAAACAGCTTCACTTCTTCTTGGGCGCTGCCTTCTTAGCCTTTCCTGCTTTAGGTTTGGTTGGCTTGGGCTTGGCAGCCTTGGGCTTCACCGCCTTGGCCTTAGCCGGGCTCTTAGCTGCCTTTTTGGGCTTGGCGGGCTTGGCCTTTTTCGGGCTCTTGGCCGCTTTCTTAGCCGCGGAAGCCGCTGGTTTCTTGGCTTTTTTCGGGCTCTTTTTCACGGCCGCAGCTTTCTTAGGCTTCTTAGAGGCGCTGGCGGGTTTCTTGGCAGCAGGTTTCTTAGGCTTTGCCGCTGGCTTTTTCTTGGGTGCCTTTTCCTTGATTTCGCCAGGCTTCTTGTTGAGTTTGAAGGAACCAGAGGCACCAGTACCTTTGGTCTGTACCAAAATGCCTTTGCTCACCAGACTCTTCAGCCCCAGCTTAATACGGCTATTGTTCTTTTCTACATCGTACCCGCCAGCTGCCAAAACTTTCTTAAGAGCAGCCAAAGAGAGCCCTTTGCGCTCCTTAGAGGCTGATACTGCCTTAGTGATCAGCTCAGTCACGCTGGGGCCCGAGGGCTTCCGGAGTTTCGAACCCCCGGCCGCCTTCTTTGCCTTTTTAGCTGGAGCCTTGGAGGCTGGAGCAGGGGCAGCTGCTGCTGCAACTACAGGCGCAGTTTCAGACATGGTCACAGACACGTTACAAAATCGGAAAAAACATAAACTGAAGTGAACTAGTCTGATGCCTGTTATTTATAGGGAGGGGTCACTGTCTGATTGGTGCGTTAAAGAGCCCGCCCAGCTGCAAACCAGAAAGGGCTCCTCTCTCCTCTCTCATTTTGTGTTTCTTCGGAGTCAATAAAGTGTATTTTTTGCACAATATTTGCCATCAAATTATCCCTTTTCTCAGCCAAATGAATTTGAAACAGGGTATTTTCATCCATTAGTGTTTCCTTCAGAAAATAATGAAATTGCATTAAAGAAAAGATTAGAAATCCTGAGTACTGAAGCTGGATGGACCTCGAGAGAGAACACATTTTGTTTTTCTTTGTAAATTAAAAATTTCCCTTTGTCAAAAAGATCAGAGAAATAATGTAATGCTATTCCTTTGACGGTCTTCTTCTAATTAGGAAAGAAAGCGAATGATTTGTTTCAATGAGTTCATTATAAACCTATTTCAAATAGAAAGAGGTAGCACACCCTCCCACAGAATAAACTGGAGGTCGGTTGAACAATGCGTATACTTCGAAACTTAAAGAATTATTATTGTCGTTTTTATCATTTAAATTATGATTTCGTGACAACACCGGAGCTGCACTTTTAAAAAATAAAAGGTAACCGTAACCTGATTAGCACGAGCCCGAGCTGACATGAAATGCCAGGGTTGAAACGACGTTACAACCTAATTAGCCTCAGTGACTTAATTCAGAATTCATGAGAAACAAAATTTATATGAATTCTATTTAAAGCCTTGATTGGAAATTTAATTTCTCTCTCTTTCGATATAATTTAAGGAGCACTCCGATTTTTCGGTTTGATTGGTGGTGGTGGGGAGGATTGGTTCGTTATTTTTTGTGTTGTTTTATTTGTTTATTTTTCCTCGACCTTGTTAATAGTGGATGGTTCTTAAGATTTCTTGGTGATTTCAAAGGTATTGGGCTGATCTGAGACAGCGCTGAGTTTGAACTCTTAATTCTGATTGGGCAGTTTGAAAAGCCCGCGCTTTGAAATGGAGGGTCTAGAATTCCGGATTTGGGTCACATGGTCAGACTCTTTTTCCCCCACCGACAGAAGTACTGCCAGTACCCCTTTTGAGATCTGTAAATCTACATACATCTCTTATTTTCACACTCAGTTCTTCACGGAGTTCACCATCACTTGGTGAATCTTCTCTTACTAACGGATTAAATGTACTTAACATATTTTCAGAGCCACTCATCTGTTTTTAATTAAATTTATTCAACATATTTTCTTTTCCCCCCCAAATAATAAATGGAATACTTAGACAAAAACCTGATCTTATCCAGCACAATTTACATGACAGTTTTCAGATTAGATCACTCAGTAACAATAATGCTGGTTTCCAGTGAGCTAAACACTGTATACAAAAAAGGTTCATTTTCTTTCAGAACGACTTTTAACAGTCGACAGGTTCCCTTTGTCTTTAACCAGGAGGATCATTTTTATAGTTGATTTTCCATTTATTTCTTTATGTTGATTCCAATGGTCAGATTAACCAGCACTGAATAATGAATCCCTTCAGTACTACGCAGAAATAAGTGACTGGAATGTTTTACAGCCACTATTCAAATTGATCATTTATTTTCATAATGATTAGTTGCTTGCTCATTCTTTGGATTAAAATGACGTTTTAATCTAGTTTGTCAGTAAGAGAAAATGTACTGACTACTGAACAGGCCTTTTTATATTTATACCTTTTATTTACAATAAGAAATCTGTGTTATTTCATAGACTCAGGTTCTAAGACCAGAAGGGAACATTGTGGTCATCTAATTCACTTCCTGTATAACACAGGCCATTGAACTTCCCCAAAATAATCCCTAGATCATATCTTTTAGGGGGTGGGGGGAAATACAACCTTGATTTTAAATTTGTCACTGATGGAGAATCCACCATTACTCTTGCTAAATTGTTCTAATGATTAATTACTCTCATGGTTTAAAATGTAACCCTTATTTCCAGACTGAATTTATCTAGCTTCAACTTCCAGTCATTGGATTGTGTTACACCCTTCTCTGATAGTCTGAAGAGCCCATTATTAAATATTTTCCCATGTAGGTACTTATAGACCATAATCAAGCCACCCCTTAACTTCCTCTTTGTTAAACTAAATAGATTGAGCTTCTTGAATCTCTCACTCACTCCCTGGCATATTTTCTAAACTTTAAATGTTAAAACATGCCTAACTTAACTATAAAGCAAAATAAAAATGTAACTACCGACACTTTAAATTTGTGGTATTGGTAAGATTGGAATTTTTACCCATTTTCTTTAAAACACTTTGACTTTTAAATTCAGATATACAACTTTTGGTTAAAATGAATCTCTCTGGATAGCCTTTCCATAATTATTAAATAGAACTAGATTTTATATCTGAGTATTTATGTATAACTATAACTAAACTATAACTATATATATAAAGGCCCTACAACACAAAAGAGCCTTTGTGTTTGTAGATGTTGTTACCAAAATGATTTTAACCTTCAAATCCATACAGTGTGTGTCCCTGGCGCTTTAAGGCAGCCATAGACCACGTCCATGGCCGTCACCGTTTTTCTGCTTGGCGCACTGAATATAGGCGACTGACTGCATCCTGAATGAAAACCTTGAGCACCCCAGGGGTCTTTTCATAGATCATTCGCGTAGCTCTCTCAGCACCTTTCTGAGGCATTTAGCAGCTCCTTTCCCTACTCCCGAACTACCCCACCAGGACCAAACTGAAAATACAAAGTCAGTTATAATTTGTACAAAACTATCAAAATACACAGAAAAACTCTTAATGCGTATAGGCCTGCAATGCCTCTCTTTATATTCCTGGAATTCAGACCTCATTAAAAACTAAAGGAAACAGGCAGGTTATTGGCACTATTCCCTGTGCTTCTCCCCCACCCTCCAACATTCCGTTGTCTCTGGGTCAGTTTAGACTCCGCCAAACGTGCAATAAACTCGAAGTTCATATTTCTAGAATAGTTTCAAAGAAAATAATGTCCAATTTAGGATATTGAAACCTATGATTATTATAATTATAACTGCAATGGAAACCCATTACCGACAATACTGGATGTCTCGGTAGCTACATTAACACAAGAACTGATTTCAAACAGTTTGTATTATTGTTGTTTCTCCCTCTTCTCTCGTTTTCTGGTGGACTGATGAAGCTGTTTTACAAGCCGACCAATTGATAGCGTACACTTTCTCGCCCCTTCTCTCTAAAACATTTTGTTGGCCCTGCTGACGTTTCCACATAGTTTAAATGGACCAATACAGGGTACAGCGCGAAGGCAGCATTTCTCCTGAAGCGAATATTGCTGGTGAGATGAACGGATCTGATTTACATAATTGTAGCAGCCTTATTCAGCTCTTTGGCGTCTGCAGCAAATTCTGACCAATCAGCTTCTGCTACATAATATTCTAACCCTGTTTTCTCACCAGCGTGCGCCGCCATTTTCCAAAGCTGCAACATGGAGAATTAATGTAATACACATGTATTTAAAAGATCAGGAGCACTCACGTGTTCCAGGAGGCTATATTGTTTTCATCCGCTCAAAAATACTCAGATTCTGAATGCCTGGTATATTTTCTGTATTAACAATACATTTTCAGTGCTGATTTTAAGTGGTTGCAGAGTGACTGCCTGCTAAAAAAAACAAGGGCTTTGTGTCTCCTCTCCTTTCCTCCCGCCCCCTGCCTGGCCTCCATATACAAGCGAAACAACTATCCCTGCTGCAGCTGATGTGGGAAAGGGTGAGACGATCCGTTGATTACATTAAAATCCGGAAAAAAACAGCATGAAATTATCAGTCAGAATGCTGACTGTGACTTTGAAGACCAACATGTATGTCCTATCATATCAAAAGCAGATGATTCTACGTTTTTTGTTTGTTTATGTCTCAATTCTGTTTCAATTCCACCTTGCCAGTTACCAGGACAAAAAGAATGGAAAGCCACAGGACACGCATTTCCAGTTAATTGTCCCTAACTAGTGTTTTATATATGGATTTTTGTTGGCTACTTATTGCAGCTGATCAGTTGTTTTGAGTCAAATAAAGGTGTTTGCTTGCAGTACTGTATTTCTCTCTTTGCATTATCATTGTTCCATAATTTCTCTCACCCAAAGCATATCAATTCATAATATTACATTCAAGATGATAAAAAGAAAGTCTTTGCATGAATCAAACCAACACCAGAAACACCTACAGTATTTCAGAGCTCAATTTCATTCATCTCTTATATCACTGGACCTAGCAAGTTTCGTGTGAAATTATCTCTGATTAGGTATTTGCTTGCCTGGTGCTGACAGACTTCACAATATCCAGTGACATTTCTTGTCTATCCAGCTGTGTATATTTTGCAATGAGAGTCCAAACACCACATCAATCCATAGTCTGGTAAACACCGCACCCTTGCTTTCACAAATGCTGAGTAGAATATTAAAGGGAAACCTCCCTGATGTCCTAATTTCTGAATTTCCATCATTGTAGTGTTAGCAGAAACCGCACTTTACTTTAAGCTTCCAGTGCATGCTCTGCCTTCCTGTGTCTTCTGACTGTATAATTCAACTGCTGCTAGTCAGAGTCTGTGTAGTTAAGATATGGTTTCATGCCTTAGGGAAACAAGGGGTATGCAGTGTCTCAAATAATCATGATTATGGTTACCTATTAATAATTCTGTGGCATTGAAAGTTCCTCCCTTCCTACACCTGAAAAGTCCTAAAGTTTATATACACTTTGCATGCCCCCAATACTCAGGAAACAGTCACTGTGATCCACTCATGATTGGTTCATTACTGAGTGTTAGTATTTTCTATTAATTAATTCAGCAGTTGGGAGGGTACAGAATGGACATACCTGTTCAATATATAGCTCCTACACAGTTCAAGAGACCCAACAATTCAAATCACTCACATGATCTTGAGCACATTTCACACTTTGATCATGAGCCCCTGCAACCACTGACATATTGCCTTCCAATACAAGAACATGTGCCCTGGACTAACTGACAAATT